GCGCGAGGGGATCGGCCTCCAAAGACTGACTGCACACTCCGTTGGGAGCAGGTTCTCCAGCAGCCTTACCAGGGTGGCACAGTGCGGCATGCGATGCTCACCTCTCCGGACTGCGCGGTCCCTCAGCTGTGGCAAAGTCAGAGGGAAGCACCCTGCTCTGCCTGGGAGTTCCTGGCTTTCCTGTTCCAAGCCTGCTCTGCTCTCTGTGAGTCTCTCAAAATCACCAAGTGGCAGGGGAGGAATACCGCACACGCACACGCACATACACACACACATACACACACCGGCACTTAACTCTTCCTCTTCCAGGCACAGTGCTCCGGACAGTGGCTGGTTTGCAAAGTCGGAGGCCCGGGGAATGGGTGGCACGCGGCTCCCTGCCCCCCCCATTTTAGCAAACCAAGGAGCCACTGTGGATCTGCTCTTTGCGCTTTGCTCTGACACTGAGTGCTGGAGAACTCGCATCTCAGGACTCTCCTTCGGAGGAGCGCCAATCCCCTCACCAGGGCGGCGTGGCGCAGTGCAGGCTTAGGGCCTCCCTTTGCGGCCATCTGGAGCAGCAGCGCTGGGTTGTGGCAGCTACCAAAAAAGAAATGCTCTCCTGGCCACCGGAGCTTTGCTCTCCCAGCCCTGCTGCTTGAGGTGAGAAGCTGCAGGGCGTATCGGGATATAACATGCAGCTAGGATTTCAGCCCCAAATTTTAGGGAAAAAAGTGTGTGTTATACGCCGATAAATTCGGTATTTGAAGTCCCTGATTTTTAAAATTCTAATCTGTTAATCTTTAAAGGTGTAGAATGTTTGTATTCAAATAAACAATTAATTGCTCTCTTCTCCCACACCCGCTCACCTGATGCTGTCATCACTGTTACAGAGACATACAGAGAATGCCCAACAAGGTCTCTGAGACGTGGAAATCGGGCACGTAGTGTATCTCTTTCTAGTACTACTTCCCCATCTCCATCAACAATCTGAAAATAAAAATAAATAAATAAAAATAAGGAAGGAAGGAAGGAAATCAAGTGGTCTGCCACAAGAGAGAGAGAAAGGAAGATGACCTTGATGGAGATATGCAGGCTCTGTTGCCAAGGCAGCAAGGGGTAAAATATATTTTAAATCCAGAACATCCAGATAATATTTGGAAGTGGCTCAGGCAGACACCCCCTCATTCCCTGAATTATAAGGAGGAGAGGGAAGTACAGCACAATCAGGCTTGCAAGGTTCTGTTGTTATAACCAGTCTCAATAAAAGTAGTTTTAACCTTCTTGTGGAATTGATTTTGTGGTCTGGTCTACCTAGTGGGGCTGACAGACAAACCCACAAGCACACCCCTACACACAAACGCCCGTTACATCTCACCGGAACTCTCTTGAGTGAGTCTGGAATACTATTTTTCTCATTATCTTTTTTCACTCCAAAGAGGACAAAGGCCACACCTTCTACTTTTTTCCCATACAGGTACCTGTAATGACAGCAGGAAAGTAAAGGCCAAATTATACATGTTTGCTTTTGATATTGGTCTTCTTTGACACAAGGGGTGTGCAAATGGAGGGGCACATCAGTGAGGGAGCTGACCTATTTCTCACAGCTACCTTATTTCCTCTGCTCTATTGATTCAGGTATTTTTCTCCAAGCCCCTGTCACTTCTGATGGTAAAGCTAGGCAGGAGAAAACAGAATTTGAGGGGGGAAATGATGAGGTCACTTCCTTCACCTATCTGCCTATTTTATTTTCTTATTTCCAAATTTATACCTCCCCTTTCTGTTCATTCCAGCACTCAAGGTGGCTTGCAAAAAGAAAAAGTACAGAGTAGAAAACACCACAATTAAAATCTTAATACAATTAAAATCAATCATTAAAATAACTAAGAATTAAAGTTGAAGGATACATATTTTAAACTTCCTAAATAATGGGAGAGTGGGATTGGGGGCATTTTTTGTTTGGATTATAACTTCCTGAAACAAAGGGTTTAACCATGATCACTTTTATGAGTGGGCTACCCAGAATTCTAAAAAGATGCAGTGTCAAAGCTATAAGAGATACTTGGTTTTAGTATCATAAATAATCAGACTTAAAAAGCTAAATAAAGTCTACTGAGGTAGTCAGCAGAACGTTCCTATTTTGCATGTCTAACAGCATGAAGTTAGTCAATGTGCTGAAGGAAATTTACATCAGTTAAGCAGAGGTGGATGGGGGACCAAAAATAAAGTTGAAGCAGCATGATAGAGATTGATTGCAGAAGCAAACAATATTGGCATAACTTGGCCTGCAAAAGTAGGATTCACATAATGCTATTACCTCAAGTGGCACTGTCTTGATTAATAGTGAAATAAAATGATTCCTGCCTAAGATTTTAAACTGACCTTTTCTTCATTATTGGGGGGCGGGATGTGTGCTGACTAGTATTTTGCAATTTTATAAATAAAGGATTTGTTAAACAAGTTTCACGTAAATGTGTTCAAATCAGAACCAGCCTCCAAATCATATTTTTCTGCATATTATGATCCAATGAAAAATCACTTCCATGTACATGATACCCAGTGTCAAAATAACTTTCTTTAGCTATTCATAGTTGTAATTACGCATACCTTGCAGTGATAGACACTTTGAAATTTTTGTTGCCATCAATGTAAAGAAACCTCTCTGACATTCGCAGACTGACTTCAAAGCTTGGCAACACTACAGAAAAAGAAACCAAGGAAAGGGTAGAAGGCCAACATGGGTAAGAGGATGGATCTGCTGAATTACTATTGAATATAACTTTCCAGGAGAGATCATAGCAGCCATTTCCACTTCTGCAAATGGCAGAAGTGGGTTTTTCACAGGCAAAACAGAAGAGGATGAAGCCCAGGATCAGGGATTGGATCTGTTAAACAGAAACAGCCCTTCTTCTCACCATATTCCTTGACATCAAAATATGCGGTATAGCTCTCCTTCAGGGAATGTTCGTATCTGGCCACAGCCTTCCACGTCCCAAAACTACAGAAGGAAAATGAAGAGATTTTTCATTGCTTTGGCTTTATAATTGATTATGACAATAAATATGATATGAACAAGGGATCCAAGGCCTCTTCCTGACATTAGTAGGTTTACTTGGACTATGGAGAATAAATGTAAAAAAGGAAGAGGATGCCTGATCCAGAAATCTTCAGACTTAAATATGCAGAAGCTAAAATCTGATCTTGCTTCTGCAGCAAATTCCCTCTTACTCATGGAGCTTAAATGGTGGTTATGAGATTGTATCTATTCTTTATCCACTCTACTTTACAGAATGGCCATAAAAATAACATTATAACCTGATGTGTGTTGCTCCAGGTTCTCCAGAAGAAAAGAGGAAATGGAAATATGATGGACAAATGCATAAAATCAAGTTTGGACTTTTCTTACCTTAGTAATAGATCAGGGAAGCAGGCTAAAGGGAAATATACTGTACAGGCTTCTTTTTTAACAGGTCTTTAATAGCCGAATGTCTTTTTTTCCCCACCAGTTTCAGCTCGGTTTCAAAACAGGTTGTCTTATTACAATATCCATGTTAAATTACCTGACGAGCTCTGGTAAGTTGAAAGGCCGGATCATGGATGAAGATGGGTTGACTGGATTAGAACTGACAACAATGCCTTCTGGTGTCTGGGCACAAGGAAATAAGTTATAGATGGGTTGAAAGAATGTAAAATGTTGCACATTACTTCCTATGCATTCTATATTATCAAAATCCAGTAGGATACTAAATTTAGCACGTGATCACATAATATAGAGATCAAATGTAACCCAGCAAGCGGGGCACTGGATATAAGATACAAGATCATTATTTGAATTTTCACCTGGATGTAAACTTCAGTTGAGAGCTCTGAACTGATCACTCGGCCTAATTTGCTTTGAAAATAGAACATTTGCTACTCTAAGCTCTTTTTTGCAAGAAAAACATGGTATAGATGAAAAAAGAAATGACTTAGTGCTAACAAAACAGAAAGTAAACAACTAGCTACCATCCCCACCATATACATGCTCACACACACATTCAATTTCAGTATTTTTTTTTTCAGTTTCATAGAGAAACTGTTTTAATTCTTGATACAGCTTAATCTTTAGCACAGCGCTTAAAATTAAACATTTAAGAAAAAAATGCATATATAAAATGTTGGCCAACCAAACTTCACAGGGTGGCTGGGTCTACCTGCCAAGTTATATGGGAAACTTCAATGAAGTACCAGCAATCACTGCTTGTTCAGGGAACTGTATTAACCACACAGAATTGCAGACATGATTCTCACCTGAAACTCAACAATCACAGTTTTGTCCGTCATGTGCATGTTGTGATCCATAGAAAAGACACGATAGCGCACTAAGAAAAAAGAGAGTAACTATCATTTGTGATAACATTCAGAAGACAGGTGCTTGCATGCTAAAAAATAAGTTTCTCAAAAATTGTTTGATATTCTGTGGCTGTCTGCCAGGCTGATTATGAATCTTAAAAAACAGATATGGAATAGTTTCTAGAAAAACAGCTGGTTAGTCTATTCGACCAAAACAGCAGCATCTTAGGGCATTTTAAAGACCAATGCATTTATTATGGCATAAATGTTTCTAGATTACTTCAACTTGAATCTCCTTTATCTGAAACAAAAGCAACACCTAATTCTTCAAAGAAAAGCCACTGAGGCCTTCAAGATTACAAATGTTCTTCTTC